AGCTAACAAACAAATCTTACGTATTAACGTATCGATAACTAATGATAACGATGAGAAGGAAACACGAAAATCATCGAACATCCCGAATAATAAATCTGAAGTCGAAATAATAACTTGTTTTATTTGCCTCATTTATACGAAATTTTTAAAAGGTTCTACAATTTCTTTTCAACGAAAAGATCAATCTGTCTAAAGATATTTTTGGGGCTATTTGTTGGAGCGTCTAACTTAGAGATGCGTTTCCTCTAACGAGATCAATATACAGCGTTCGTTCATCTCGAGATGTCTTGTTATTCGAATGCATGATAGTGCAATTAGACGATACCGGAAACCCGGTGATGACTTGCGCGCGGCAGAAATAACGATAAGCGTCTATGGTCTACAAAGACTTCGGGCGTCGGAACAGGTTCGAACAGCGCTATAATAATGTCAAGGTACAGTTAGTATGCGTCATATGTATTTTATCATGCTTATTTCCGAAGCTCTCAAAAGAGTTCAATGCGGCTCGCGTTATATGAATATAAGGCATTTCTCACTCAATACGGTAAATTTGTTTATTTTTAACTCATGCGTTAACTCATGCGATTGCGACAGTTTTGTCATTCTGGTATCAACATAACGATCACCGTCGCCGTCGCAGCCGTAACTACACGTTACTCGAATAACATATCGTTACTGCTTGTACGAGTATTATGATTTTATTCTCGAAATTGTTTCGAGCGATTCGTTTACTCACTGATACTCACTTGATCGGAACATCGCAAAAAACAATTGTTTCACATTATTCTTATGGGGCGACAATTATTCATTATGCACACAGCAGACCGGCAATTTGTAACAATAAAGAAAACGTGAAGAGAGACTGCGAATGAAATACGGAAGTCATCGGGCTCTTACGTACTTATTGATCATTCGCTTCGCGTCATAGGCTTCTCGCTTTTAATATTAACTAGTTTTAAAAGTGACGAGGTGAACGCCAAAGGAGAACGTACGAGAACGTACGTAGAACGACAAAAGGCCTCGACTTGGTTGGTTAACCAGCGTGAAGTCCTGCGTATCATTGTATATGTATTATATGTATGTATATATTGGGAAGAGAGTACCAGTACCATTCTATAAAAAATACAGAGCACATATGTATTGCACATATACAGGATCTGCTAAAAGTTCCGGAACGGTTAATTATTTCAAAAAATAATTATTGTTTAAAACAATATTTGAAACAAAAGTTGTAGGGCTTAAAAAAAGCTATCAGATATTAATAATTGTTTAACCTTGGAATGACCTTGAGAAATATTATCAAGGTCGACATAAAAATTTTAAATGGAAACTCGAATTTTTTATTACATTGTCTTTTTCCACCAATTAATTTGAACAACTTTTGTCTGAAATATTTTTTTATTTGTCTAATATTTTTTGAGATATTTAAGAATAACTTGGTAATTTTTTCAATATTTAACTTACGATATCTCGCTAACTGTTTGTCAGGATAAAAAAATGGTACTAGACTTTTCTATTCTATTTGATTTCAAGAATATATTGGTACAATCAATTGGTCATTCCAAGGTCAAACAATTATCAATACTTGATAGCTTTTTTTAAACCCTATAACTTTCGTTTCAAACATTGTTTTAAACAATCATTATTTTTTGAAATAATTAGCCGTTCCGGAACTTTTGGCAGACCCTGTATATATATACATATATGTATGTTTACATTTATATATATATATAGTGTTTATATACATCGAACATCGTTTATAGATTTCAAAAACGAAGCATTTTAGAGAAAAATGTATGAGACAAAAATTGTATGGTTTCAAGGGGGACATAAAACAAAACTGTATCAGTTCGTTTACAGATGGCGCCACTTTGGAAATATTCATTAATTATTACTTTTCTAAATGTAATCCCAATTTTTTATTATATTATCTTTTTTTACTAATTAATTTGAATGACTTTTAATATTTTTTTATTTGCTTAATATTTTTTGAGATATTTAAAGAAAACTTGATAACGTTTTCAATATTCAACTTACGATATCGAAACGATACGAAAATATTCGGCAAATAAAAAAATGTTTCAGACAAAAATTATTCAAATTAATTGATAGAAAAAGATGATATAATAAAAAATTGTGATTTTTGTTTAAGAAAAACAATGATCAGTGAATATCTCGAAAGTGACGTCACTTGTAAGCAAACTGATAGTTGTTTTATGTCTTTCTTGAAACCATACAAATTTTGTCTGAAACATTTGTTTCTACAATCAGAAATTAAAAAGTTATCGGGATGAGTAACTTGACATGACTCACCCTGTATATCCATGAACGTGCGTTTATATGTGCGAATAAATAGCGCTTTACCATGACAATTACACTGATAAGAAATACAGAGAACAGAGTGTGGAAGAGGGAGGTACGGATTATATAAAATCACAAGTGTGCTAAATACACTCCGTCGACTCAGAGGAATTTTTACTGGATATTGTGAAAATAAAATTTGCGGTTTTCCTTGACGATTACAATAAATTAATATTTGCCAGATGTAAAACGAATTTCATATCAAAAATACGCTGTGTATGTTAAGATAAAACTGTAGAACCTAGTGGATTATGGATTCTTCCTCTTCATCGTGCAAATTCTTGATTTTTCTTACAACGATCTGTACATTGGATTTCGAAACAGTTTTTTAAACTTTATTCGAATATATAATAGATGTCCTATGAGAAAACTTAAATTCTAAGAATTTTTCAGAAACAGATTTTCTTATTGGATTACCTACTGTGCATTCTGAACTGTATTCAAAAAAGTATCAAATCTTTTTAAACCTTCTTTAAAACTCAATCTAAATCTTTAAAATTTAATATATGTATAAAACTTAATGTATGAATGAACTTTTCGTTACTTGTTGATATATAAAGGTTGTGTTGTTCATATATTTGTATTTAATATATAGAAAATTTATTAAATAGAAATAAAAATACGCGAAAGAATTAGTAGAATTTACTTGAAACAATATGTTACGAGGGTCGTTCAATAAGTCCTTAGAAAAAGATAGAAAAACAAATTATTTTGGGTAGATTTTTTTTTATTTTTCAACATAATCTCCTTTTAGCTCTATACACTTTTCCAAGCGTTTTTCCAACTTTTTTAAGCCGTCCAAAAAATAAGATTTCGGAAGGTCCTCAAAATAGGCATCTGTTTGGGCGATGACCTCCTCGTTCGACGTAAACCGTTGTCCGCCGAGCCATTTTTTCAAGTTTGAAAATAAAAAAAGTCACTGGGGGCCAAATCCGGTGAATACGGTGGATGTTGTAATAATTCGAACTTTAATTCCATAATTTTGGCCATCGAAACTGCGCAGATGTGCACCCGTGCATTGTCTTGATGGGAGAGGATCTTTTTCTTTTTCAAATGAGGACGTTTTTTCTTGATTTCTTCGCTCAACCGGTGCAATAACGACGCATAATACTCTCCAGTTATTGTTTGTCCTTTTTCCAAGTAATCGGTGTGGATGATTCGGCGTGCATCCCAAAAAACCGTGGCCATCACCTTGCCGGCTGATTTCATCGTCTTCGCCTTCTTCGGAGCCCGTTCGTCTTCAAAAACCCACTGTTTTGACTGTTCCTTTGTCTCTGGAGTGTAATGGTGTATCCATGTTTCGTCCACAGTTATGTATCGACGCAGAAACTCGTCAGGATTGCGACGGAAAAACGCCAAAACAGCTTCAGAGTCGACCACACAATTGCGTTTATTCTCCACTGAGAGCAAACACGGCACCCATCTTGCCGAGATTTTTTTCACACCCAATTTTTCGTGCAAAATTGAAAACACTGTACCTTGCGATATGCCTGTAGCCTCAACTATTTCGCGCACTTTGATTCGTCGATCACTTAAAACCATATCGTGGATTTTGTCAATCATTTCGGGGGTAGTCACTTCCACTAGACGTCCCGAACGATGTTCATCTTTTGTGGATATACACCCACGGTAATCGATTCTGTCCCTTAGAAATTTTCACAAACTGAGTAGTGACTACGTTTCTACACTACTCACAGTCCATGCACGATTAATAAAATAACTAAAACTTACACTCGCTTATGGAAGATTGAGGCCTGGTCTATAATAGATGTTATAAGCTATAAGCCGTAAGAACTGGCTAATTATAGCCGATTATTTTTATAGTAATTGACTGTGATTCGCCAATTCTTATGGCTTACAACTTACGACACGTATTGTAGATCAGGCCTCAATCCTCCATAAGCGAGCGTAAGTTTTAGTTATTTTATTAATCGTGCATGGACTGTGAGTAGTGTAGAAACGTAGTCACTACTCAGTTTGTGAAAATTTCCAAGGGACAGAATCGATTACCGTGGGTGTACGGCTACGTTTAAACTCATTTACCCAATTGTAAACAGTTGCAAACACAGGAGCAGATGTGCCATGAACTTCATCTAACTCAGCTTTAATCTCTTTCGGTGTTAAGCCTTTTAAATATAAGTGTTTAATCACCACTCGAAACTCACTTTTTTCCATTTTTCTAATAAAGAGAAGTTTGTTGCTTCAATCGACAATAAAAATTAAACCATGTGATGGATATAACTGAAACTTTAACAGCTGTCTAGTGAGTAATGATGCTTACTAAAAACAAACCATTTTCGATACTACGAGCGCCATCTCTTGGATTTTCTAAGGACTTATTGAACGACTCTCGTACATAAAATGTAATACAAAAATCTGAGAGTATCTTTTTTTGTCCATCATCGATCGTCTCATATCATGAGAATTATGAGAATTATGACATTTACCTATGTAGGAGGAAAAAAGTGAGAGCTCCTGCAATGTTGATTTCATTTAATTTATTACATGTGGTTTCATCTCCGTAACTTAAATTTATACTGTTCTTTCTTTCCAGTGAAATGATGAATTATTATGTGTTAATTTTTCTATGTTAGTCGAATGTGTTAATCGAATTATTATGTGTTAATTTTCCTCTTCAGGCGTACATGAGGCCTCCGATAAAAAGCACGGCGGTTCAAATTGCGAGGATCGCCGCTATTACTCTGATCACGATGTCCGTAGTCCTCGGCAGCTTCATCTTGGCGGCGTCCTGGGTCCAGGCTAGAGCTTCCTGCACACCGGAATCGATCGCGGCAATGCAACGTGAACTGAAACTGCAACAACAGCAACAACAACAAATTCCTGGGACTTACCAGTCGCAGGGTGAATTCCTGAAGCATCTGCAGCCCGAAGCGCTTGTGCAGGTAAGAATATCTAGAGTGCATCCAAGCAAAGCAGATGTCATTTCGAAACAGCTGCCGACCGTGAGAGAGCAAATGAGTCAAAATTGAAGAGTGAATTTTCTATTCGAGATATTCGAAGTTTCTCGTCGCGGTAAATATATGAAAATGAGCGGATCTCGTTATCATGGTGGACATATATGATTTTGAAAAATTAACATTTTGAAATTTAAAAAGTGGATCTATTTCTCGAAAAGTTATAATAATGAGATTAGAACAATAATATATCAGAAATAATATATCAGAAAATACAACTATTCTAGAATATAATAATTTAACAATAATATAATAATAATGTTATGAAAATATAATAATAATATTATGAAGATACGGTAATAGTATAATAACAATTGTTATTATATTATTATTGTATTTTCATAATATTATTATCATATATTACATTATATTATGTATTATATTATTATGTATATAATAATATAACGAAAAATTTATACGTTATTTTTTTTCTATATTGATTTTGGTATCACAACTTTTCAAGACAATGCATGCTCATCGTCTTGAATTATCGTCAGATTATCATCGGGATCGTAACATATAGTTACAATAGTGTTCGTGGTAAGCAGATGACTAAAGCAGGAGAAAAAAAATTAGCAGCATCAAAATTCACCGTAACGCACTCTTAGCAATATCGTTAAATAAATACTGCCTTCTAAAAACACGACTACGAATTATCCAGATAACAATCGCTTTGTGTGCACTCTGTACACTAGTTACAGAGAAATCGCAGGCGGCGCGACGGTCCTACACGTTTTCATGGCAGGGAAAGTGACTGCGTCCGCATATTATGTTCAACCGTAGATTTCTCGTTTAATTGTTAAGAGGATCAAACACTATCGCTCGGTGCAAAAACGGTAGCGCAGCGGCTTTCAGCTCGTTTACGTTCACGTCGACGACTGCGCGAGGGATTTCTAAATTTTCACGTTCGTACTTTGGCCACTTGCCGTCAGCGAGTGGCCGTCGTAAAAGGAAAAATCGATCGAACAGCAAGTCGCCGCTGCGTTACGAAGAGTTTTATTTGCGAGCGAGGAGAGGATCCCCGCTCTCAGGCATATAGCAAGCCCGCCTTCAATTTTTACGATTGAAAGTGAGAAAGGGGGACGTTAGTACGATATCGGTAATAAAATTAACGCCCGGTCTTCGCGCTCGGCAAAAATGCAAATTTGCTTTCGCGTTGCTCGTGTAGCTTGGAATCCGCGCATGTGCGAGTGATGTACAGTCTGTAAAGTAAGAGCGTGTACGGGTTAATGTGTAGAAAAATTTATTTTTAATGATTTTTAAGTACATGGATTTGTTGTACTCTATGAGAAGAAAAATGCTATACCATTAATAATGAGTCCAGTCACCACCGGCATTGATAATTTCCTGGCATCTCCGAGGCATACTTTCCACTAAGTTGACTGCGTATTCGTTCGGTAAAGACCTCCAAATGAGACGAATTTGTCGTGTCAGCTGCTTCAAAGTGCACACTCTTTTTCCTCGAAGCTTGTGCTTGAGATATGCCCACACATTTTCAATGGGATTTGCATCTGACGACTGCGATGGCCAATCAAGTGTGACGATGCCAGACTGCTCTTTCCACTCGGTGCAAAGCTTGCTCCGGTGTTTTGGGTCGTTGTCTTCTTGTAAGATCCAGTCCTCGTTTTTTTGAAGCATCGTTCAGCAGTCAGCAACAAACACTTCTCATAAATTTTAAGCATTTTCGGAGCATTTAAATTATATGTAAACAGATGTAATGCTCCAAAACCCTGTTTCGAAAAGCAGCCCCAAAGATGAACTTTTGCAGGATGTTTAACAGTCCGTTGTATTAATCTATTGGTCAAGCTTGACCAGGAACGTCGGATGGCAGTATATCCCCAAACAGAAGCTTCATCCGTAAAGATCACGTTGCTCCAATCTCGGTCTAAATTCTCCTTTGCCCAAGCGAGTCTTTTCGTTACATGTTTTTCGCCTAACAGTAGTTTCTTTATTGTGCTTCGATATTTGAGGTTATGCGCAAGGAGATGGGTTCGAATAGTTGTATGTGATACTTCTATACCCTTCTGTTTTAATTTTGCTGCTGCTTGTCGCAATGTTAAGGTCGGGTTCCGCTTAAACAAATTCACAATTTTTTTTTCCATATTCGGCGTCACTTTGCCTATCGAGCCACGTTCTGGCAAGTCATCGACATTTTTGATCTTATATTGCTGAACCCACTTAGCGACGAACGATTTTGACTTTCCCATGTATTTAGCAGCCGCTGCATATGATATTTTTGGTCCTCTGGGGGGGGGGGGACAAAGGAACACAGCCTCGTAGCGCGATGCGTATGCGGCACTCATGGCGGTTAACGTGTTTCTCAAGTTCGACGCCAACTGAATCTTTTGCGACAAAGCATTCACGACAAAGATTTCATCTATCGGCTCACAAAAAAACTAGGACGATATTTGAAGCCAACTGCCATTTATGCTGTACACGCTCTCACTTTACAAACTGTATATGTGACTAATACCAGAAAGGTCTATAATACAGTGGAATGAGCCTTCAAAGAGACAGATAAATATTGGATGGATTATCTATCCTTGTTAGTAATATTCTCAGCGCTCGAAATGAGTATATAGGAAATAATGTATAGGATAGCCCGCGTAAGATTCAACAATTAGATTATCAGAGAATTCTGTTACAAGTTTTGCTTAACATATATGATAATATGTTTTACACAGGCGAATTTTATGAATTATGAAGTAAGTATATGTGCGTTCTTATTCCAAAAGTGACATGAAAAAAGTTAGATAGCGGTGTTTTATATTTATTAAAATTTATCTCTTTGAAATTTTTAAATTCCCCCTGCACTATTCTTTAAGAAAGATGAATAAATGCAAATCTTAACACAGATGTAAAGGTCCCTGAGATCGATGAAACTTGTGACCGAAATGATTAAAGTTGATCATACTTCTTGAGGTCTATGTTATTAAGTTTTGGGTCACCTTATCAGGTGTTAAATCAGGTGTTAAACTGAGAAAAGGAGAAGTGCGTGTAAAAGAGAAGTGTAATTAAAACAAATAAACTTAATATTTTGCTATAGTCTGATATTTCTAAGTTCACTGCAGTATATTGCAAAGCTCATTGCACGATATGACGATAAAAAGAAAGAAATCACGACATGATGTTCGGCGTTTGGTACGAACGTCGTGAATTCGTGCAGTACCGAGGTACGGAGAGCGGAATCGTGTCTCACGACATTCGTTGGGAAGAAGGGTTGTGTCGGATTTATATGGTCACGCCCATCTTCATGGTGTACTGTCTTGATATTACTACAGAAGTAACGACTATCGGGCTTCACCGCGATTTGTCGATGATATTTACAGCCGTGTTCAGACCGCGAATGCGATTTACAGTTTTATAAGCGTTTATTGTTGATTGTAACGCCCACGGATCGATTATTGCAATAAGAATCTTCAGTATAATTTTATCAGTTAATAAAAAAATAACATTAATCTTGCCGATGGAAATGGCGTTTAAGTCAAAAGTTAATAAAACGAATCGATAATTATTGTACCATAATGAGTAATAATAAAAAAAATTTAATAAAATTAACAAATTCAACATTTAACAAATGACCGCACATAACGAACTGTTTATCGGGGAATTATTACAAAGCTATATGTCGCTTCATAATCGCAAATCTAGGTCAAACGAAAGAATAATAATCGTTTTTTCAGTATAATGTATTTATCGATGTAATCGTCAGATTTTGCAATACTGTGTAATTAAACAATAATCCTGTATTAAATAGAGTCTTGTATTTTAATTTATTAAATTAACATCACAGTTCCTTTCTCCCCTATCAAGTATTTTCCGAAGTCAATTGAACTAAATTTATAATTTAGTCAATTGAACTAAATTTATAATTTAGTCAATTGAACTAAATTTATAATTATTATTTTTAGTTGCATTATAAAAAATTCTACATCAACTAATATTGAAATCGAACTTCTAATAGGAGAATTTGATCTTAAGTACGTTAAGTAAGTAAAACGATCTTAAGTAAGTAAATTTGGTTATGAAAAGATAGATTGCATATAATGAAATAAAGTATACCAAGTTTTCACGATTAAGGGTCACGTTGTTTGTACAGTAATTAGTTATGACAGGAGTTGAAATAATACATAGTATAAATATCAACCTTTTGTTATATTCTTATTTTTTATAGATAGGAGTATAATAAAAAACAAAAATATGTTTTTCTAGAAATTGTATTTGTGACGTTTTATATACTATTACTTTTTGGTTCTTATCGCAATCGATTATTGCGTACATTTAGCTTTGTCAATAGTAGCTTTCAGTTGTGATAGCTTGATGAGTATCTTATTTCATTGTATCTAAACAGTTTTGTAATCACGTAGTTGAGGAGAAAAAATTACATATAATTGTATATGAATCTCGTCTTTATGTAATCGTATATAATTATTTATATGTACATATTTATACGAACAAAAAGATGTTATACAATAATATTATAATAAAATGTGCAAATACAGTCAAAGCAATATGCTTATATTTGCACCAGTCCGTGATGTCGATGTTTAATTGATGTTTAATTGAATAGAAGCATTTTCTTTCCATCTATCAATAGCATTTTTTCTATATGGATATATGATTACATATGATTATACAAGGTGTCTAATTTTAATCTATCATCCCTCATAATTTTGCAGAGAGCGGTCGTAGAGGAAAATATTTCAGACAAAAGTTATTAAAGTTATTAATTGGTAGAAAAAGATAATAAAAAATTGAAGTTTCCATTTAAGAAAAGTAATAATCAATGAATATCTCGAAAGTGGCGCCGTCTGTGATCAAAATGATATATTTGTTACATATCCCTTTTGAGACCATACAACTTTTATCTGAAATATTTTTCTCTACGACCACTCTGTGCAAAGTTACAAGAAATGATAGGTATAAAA